CGTTGTCTGCTCTCTTCATCATGTAATTGTGTGGGGTTTTTTGGTTTTGGCTGTTGGGGTTTTTTTTAGTGTTTCTTTATCTGTCTACTTGGTGTTCTTTAGCATTAGGTTCGAGTTACTTTGCCAGTTTTAGTTGGTATCAGATTGGAGTTTTGTTAGATTAGATTCTAGTTTTAAAAGGATTTTCCTAAGCAATACTTTTAATGAAACTGACTTTTTGTTCCTGTCTGCAGTTTAATATACCAATGTTAGACACCATTTAAAAAAAAAAATAAACTTGATGGTTTTTTGTGGTCCCCTCAGTTTGCAGAAACATAAACCATTTTATGCCTCTCTGTATTTCATTTTACATCTTTTTTGTTGTTGTTTGTCCATACACACTCTGCTTCTCCATAGCTGGTATATTTAAAACTGGTAGGACTTTTTCTGTGTGCTTTTTCTAGGCCATCTCTCCTTAGATCTCTTCTGCAGCCCGAATCTCTGCGGTTGGATTGGTTGTGCTTGGCAGTTTCTCATGATGCTCCACAAAGAGCAAATACTGTGGATGCAGAAGGAAATCCCAGGTAAGGTGGGTTTCACCCAAGGTCCTGAGTGCAACAGAAAGCTTTAAGAGATTTGCAGTCTTTTGGCTTAGATTTTGTATGACAGTTCGGATGTCACTGTCTCCTTGGAGCATGTTGCAGATTTCAGCAGAGGAGACAACCAAAGGGTTGAATAACTTATCTATAAGCTTTTCAGAGTGACTGCACATGGTGTTTCATTCATTTTTCCTCCTCTCTTTTCATATACCTGCCATAATGTTCTGAAGAAAATCAATAGTGCTTTAAAACTGAATTTCTCATCTTCTAGGCCACGATCACATTTGTTTACTTGGGGCTACAGCCAGCTCATTCTGCTTTTGATTAAACTCCCAGCTGATTTTGGTACAAAAGAGAAGATGGCTCACATCTGTAAGTCACACGGGTAAGGAGAAGACTTGGTTATTCTTGATGCTTGGTAAGTTGGTATTCTGACTCCAGAAAGATACAAATGAAAATGACCCATCTGCTTCTTAATTGGACAGTGTTTATTTAAAAACCTTTCATTTTTTTGAGAATGAATATTGAGTGTCCAGTTTAATGTACTAAACACCCCTTCTGGTTGAGAGGTATTCACCATGTCCCCACTCTATTTCTGGCATTCAAGAAATTTAGTTGCTCCTGTCTTTACTTAAATGAGCATGTAGTTGTTCTTGACTTTGGTTTAAACTGAGTATTTGATTCCTGGAAATCTTTACTCTCTTATTCAAGATTTTGGCCTGGATATCTTTTTCTCTGTCTGGAGCTGGATAGAAGAATAGAAGCCTTTACTAATATTGCTCATTTGGATGATTTGAGCCTGTTGAATGGAGAAGATGGTTAGTGATTCTTAAGCTGTATAAATATACTTGTAATATAGGAACTGCCTGTGTATAATGATTTGCCCACAAAGCTGAGTTGAAATTGTATTTTTTTGTTTAGGTAGCCCTAACTCTGTATAGTGCAGCATATTTGAATGGGTGTTACAGTCCTGTATTCACAAAGCACAGTCACTGTGCTTTGTGAAATCAGTTGTGCTAGAAAATGCTTATAAGTTCAAGAATGTAGAGTTGTGTATCAGTTGGGAGTAAAAGGTAAACTTGTTGTTGTAGATAGAAGAATAGCAAGCCTTCCTGCACAGCACAAAACTCCCACACTACATGTGCAGGCACCCAAAGTTAGGGTGAGCAAAGCATTGCATTACAGGGCAGAACTTTAAAGAAAATTCTCTGTACCCCTAAGATGGACAAAACTTTGACCCTTGACTTAATCCAAAGCCTTAAATACTGAATTATTGTGAAGCTTTGTGTGTTCACCACTAAATCTTTACACTGGGTCAGTCAAAGCAGTACATATCTGTGCACAATTTGCTTGTTGATAATGCTTGGTTTTCTTAAATCTTCCCAGAGTAAACCAGAATATTTAGCCTCCCTTTTACAACAGATATAGTTAAAATAGCAGGCTTAGAGTAATCCTGGGTTTACAAATAACATAACAAACTCATTTTACATCTAGGTTGCATTCCAGAGACCATAGAAGAGTGGAAGTTTCTTCTGCATCTTGCACAAAACCACAGCACAGCCTTGCACCACCATGGCCAACAGAACGGGAATGCCGTCAGCAATGGTGGCACGAGCTGCCCAGACTGCATCACTGTGGAAAATGTGGCTCTACTGCTGGCCAGGGCCATCGGCCCCAATCGTGCTTTGCCTCTCTTGCAGGAGTGTGGCTTGACACCGGAGTTGTCTGAGAGATTTACTGGTGTCTGTGAGATACTGAGAATTGCTGAGAAGAGGCAGAGGTAAGAGATGTGTCAGCAGAAGATCCACACTATTTGTTTTGGATCTCCTCTGTGCTTTAAACTTTCTTTTCAGTTAACAAGAACATGAAGTGCTTCACATCTTTACCTTGGATTTTAGGCTGAGGTGAAAGCTTTCCTATTATTTAAGAATTGTGTGTTTTGCAGTGTAGGCATTTTAAAATTGAAAATAAGGAAACAGGAAATCATATATTAAAGAATATGTAAAGGAGATTCTCTGAAGGAGATGTGTCCTGCTGAGTCCTGCACAGACTCTGATCTCACCTATTCCTTCCAGAGAAGGCATGCAAAGTGATCAGGTTGCTACTTCTGAAATGCAGTCACATTTTTTACAAACTTTTCTTTAAAAAGCAAACCAAAACTGTTGTTCTTTCTGTTGTTAGCTTTTTTTACTGTTTAACCTTTCTTTTTCTCCTTTGTTTTAATTGCAGAGCGCTGATTCAGTCTATGTTGGAAAGGTGTGACCGGTTTTTGTGGTCTCAGCAAGCATAGTAAACAACTTTGGAAAACTCTGGGAATGTTTTTGAATGTGATGATTGTAAATTAAAGTGCCTCTTAAACTTCACAGGCCCTTAAGGAAACGAACTCCTGTCTAAAAGTTCAGTTATATTGAGCCAGTCTTCATCTGGCAGGTATCTGACCAGGAACTGTTGACAGTTCTTCCTTATTCCTTTGGAGATGAGTTTTGAACTGTAGAACTTAAATTAAAACAATACAGTATTTATCTTGAAATTGAGGTCACAGATTTCCAAGACAAAAATTCCTGAATTTATTTTCTGAGTCTATGACTTAAGTGTTTAGGGATAGGAGCCCCTAAGTATTAAATTATGGTATATAAAATTTTTTTGTTTCTTTGTTTGCAAACATGAGAAACCATTCCTGGGAAATATCTAAGCCCATACTTGTTTAGCTTTCCTGTAAATTGCATTGACCTTTACTGTTGCTGTAGAAGTGTTTGTTACGGTAGCCTTTGTTTTTCTTCTCCCTCTTAAATTATACAGACAGATCTATTTGAAACACAATAATTGAACCAAGTCTTAAAATGGGAGGGAAATACTTTTCGTAGTCAATTAATGGTTAAAAGTGCTGATGAACAGAAAAACTTGTTAAATGAGCTCACTGTTAAACTACAAGCACAATATTTCTATATTTCCCATATCTGTTTGTGCAGTATGACTATAGACATCAGTTGTGACATTCCAACAAACCTCAGGCCAGTGGAATTAGAATCAGAGTCATTTAAGTTGGAAAAGACCCTAAAGATCCAACTGTTAGCCTAACACTGCCAAGTTCACCGCGAAACCACGTCCGTAAGTGCCACATCTACACAACCTTTAAATGCCTCCACAGGGATGGTGATTCAACCTGGCAGTCTGTTCCAGTACCTGACAACCCTTTTGGTGCAGAAATGTTTCCTAATATCCAAACGAAATGTCTTCTGGTGCAATTTGAGGCCATTTCCTCTTGTCCTATCACTTTTTACTAGGGAAAAAGGAACTTACCCCCACCTGGCTACAGCGTCGTTTCAGGTAGTCATACAGAGTGATGAGGTCTTCTCTGAGCCTCCTTTTCTCCAGGCTGAACAACTCCACCTCCCTCAGCTACTCCTTATAGGACTTGTGCTCCAAATCCTTCATCAGCTCTGTTGCCCTTCTCTGGCCTTGCTCCAGCACCTCAGTGTTTTTCTTGTAGTGAGGGGCCCAGAACTGAACACAGCGCTCGAGGTGTGGCCTCACCAGGGCCGAGTACAGGGGGACGATCAGTGCCCTGGTCCTGCTGGCCACACTATTCCTGATACGATCCAGGATGCTGATGCCTTAAATGGCTGGAAAGAACCCTCTGCCACTCCTTTTTGAGTATTAGAAAGCAAAGCCAGTCTTCATTTACAGCATCCTGGGTGTGTAGGAATCGTTTCCATAGTACGCACACCGAGTTAGAGAGGTGCTATAGTTTTATACTATTATGTCTAACATTACAACATCTGTTTCTCCCACTTCCCAAAACTGTCCATCCCATCAGATCTCCCTTGTCCTACCTTAGACACCATTCCTGATGATGACCCTTTATCTTCATCTTGTGTTTCTCTTCCTCATCTTGTTCCTTGGTCTTTGGCACAGTAGCATGCCATCTGGAATAGTTTCAAGGCTTCTGAACAGCTTTGACTCGTTTATATCAAGCAATGTGCTTGTTACATCTGTTTTCTGAGTACATTTTCTACAGATAAAATGTTCTTTCCCTTGCTACAATCTTTGTCCATTGGAATTCTTGGCAAGAAATATTAAACAACATTTTTAGAATTCTTGTACAAAGGTACTAACAGGCCAAAGGCACTAGCAAACCATACCAAAAGTGCTAAAAAGCTATACTAAAATCTATATAATATGTATTTTAAGGCATCGATGCCATTGGCCTTTTTGGCCACCTGGGCACACTGCTGGCTCATGTTCAGCTGGGTGTCAACCGGCATCCCCAGGTCCGTTGCTGCCAGGCAGCTTTCTGGCTGCTCTGTACGCAGCCTGTAGTGCTGTGTGGGGTTGTTGTGACCCAAGGGCAGGACCCAGCACTTGGCCTTGTTGAACCTCATCCAGTTGGCCTCAACCCATCGATCCAGCCTGTCCAGATCCCTCTGCAGAGCCTTCCTGCCCTCCAGCTGATCAACACTCCCACCCAACTTGTTGTCATCTGCAAACTGACTGAGGGTACCCTTGATCCCCTTGTCCAGGTCATTGATAAAGACATTAAATAGGACTGACTCCAGTACTGAGCCCTGGGGAACACCACTTGGGACTGGCCACCAGCTGGATTTAACTCCATTTCCTGCCACTCTCTGGGCCCAACCATCCAGCCATTTTTTTGTCCAATGAACAGTGCACCTGTCCAAACCGTGAGCAGCCAATTTTTCCAGGAGAACACTGTGGGAAACTGTGTCAAAAGGTTTTACTGAAGTCCAGGTCAACTTTGGTGATTCAACAATTAATTCTGACATTTTGGAAAGTGAGAGGGACCGCGTGTCTTCTTTTAATATTTTTAAAAGCTGAAGGTTTAGATGAGTATTTTTAGATGGATGCTGTCAAGAAGGAAGTCTTTTTACATACCTGGTAGAATATGAAGATTAATAAAATTACTTGGATTTTATATCTCATTTACAGAACTATGCCTTGTACCAGCACTCTGCATTTAATGCATCTTTGAATAAGTTTCTTTTTAGGCTTCTAGTTTTGACTCTCATCACTGCCAGACTCACATTTTTAGCAGAGGGCAAACAGCATCTGGTCAGTATTTGATTTTCACAAATGTCATTTAAGGAAAAAGTTAATACATTCATTAGAACTAAATTTTATTAAAATTGATAATATTGTTATGCAAGTATTTCTTTATAAAGCATCTTTATAATGCTTTTCATCAAAATAGGAGTTAGTAATACAGCTTTCAGCTTTTTGAGAGATGCAGTCTGATTATTTCATCTTGATGTCAATAAAGACTTGAGTGTGGAGGGTAGGTTACTTCACTAGACAAAGTTACAGGGAGCCAATTAGTGTCAGGTTTTCATCCATTAATAGTGTTGCTTGTGGAAAAGCCAATTCAGAACTATTTCTCAGAAAGAAACCTTTAAATCTTTTGGAGTTTAGACTCTGACACTGGAAATAGAAGGATCTGTGCCATCAGAAACACCCCATGCTCTTACAGTAAGACTTGGAATGGAAGCCAGGCACCTGCCAGATGCTGTTGGTGACTGTTCTCCTCCCTGCCAGGTGAGGTGCTGCTGTCTCAGTGTCTGTCCTGTTTACTTAACACAGTTCATACAGCTGTAGCTGAGTGCTCCTGTTGCCTTCCTTGGAGGAATTTCTGGCTTTCTGAGAATGTACCTGGCTTATCTCCATATGTAATGGTTCTATTTGCTCCTTGTATTTTGTGTACACATCAGTCTCTTGCTTACTTCTGTGGAGGTTTTATACACTTGGTTAACTTTGAGTATGGGTTGGGTTTTTCTGGTTTTTTTACAATAAATCAATACTTTCTGGTCAGAGCCTTTTTTTGTGTCAGAGTGGTCATATAGGTAACATAATGGGAAGCGTTTGTTCAAATTTCATGTGTAAAGTGAGCTTGTGTTGATGATTTCAACTAACTCAGCTGTCAATAAAGAGTAAGAGTTTACTCTCCAAAGAAGTGTTGGAAAATCACTGTTTCCTATTCTGGATGAGTTTGTTTTCATCTCAGAGGGGTAAGGTGAAGGGACTGTGAAATAAAATGGTCTTCTGTTCAGAAGTTGCAGCTGCACAGAGCAAGGCTCTCATGCTGAAGCTGTGGCCCCTAAACCAGCTGTCAGACAGCTGAGCACACACCACTGATGGCTTGAGCCAGTCTGCACTGGAGCAGATGAGCTGCAGCTCATCCTTGGCTTTGTGGGTCACTGATGGTGGAAGAAGGCCTTAAAAAGCAGAGGTGAATAAAGGGGGCTTTGCCTGGAGCAGCTTTAAATAGAAACTGTGGTGGTGGCGTTTGTTTTCTTTTTTTGAAAGAAAAAAGCATCATACCCTCCTCAAACATTATTTCACTATTAAAATCATCATCAAAACCTCTGGGGAAATAAATTTTATTTCAGATAAATATCTGCATTTTCAATCTGTTCCTTGAAAGGAGCCAAGTTTGCAGTTGTTCTACACGTCTATAAACCTGAGGTCAATGCTAGTAAATATTCTATACAGGAGCATGGCAAAACTCCTGAGGTGCATCATTGCACATGTAAACTAAAATAATGTACTGTTCCTTCCCAGAATAACTGCATCTATGATTGTGCCTGAGCTGGGAATTCACCTTATCTGATTTCTCAATCTGACTTTCTCAGATTGCAAAATTGTGGAATGTTTGTGGAAGGTAGATTGCATTTATATATATTTAGAATTAAAGGGCAACCAGTATGGGGTTGCTTTTTATCTTAATTACATCAGAATGTACAAACTCAGGAAACAGTCTCCGGGCACCCTTCAGTATGTTGTTTCCCCAGTGTGCACACACAGCCAGAGTTTTCTTGCTGGGTCAGAAAGAAATACCTCGTTCAGCCCCTTCTCCATGCTCAGAGGCAGCTTTGTCTGTTTCTGTTGCGCAAGCAGCAGTTTTGGCTGCAGCTTGCTTCTGTGAGCTAGGGGTTGTGATCTGGAGTGCAGGCCAAGAGGATACGGGAAAGCAGAGCTCAGGCTATTCCCTGCTGGAGCACAAAGCTAGAGCTTTATCTTGGTTACCATAGGGAGTTCACACATTGTTGTCACTACTGCTGTCCTTGTTGGAGAGGAGTCCAGGGGATACACTGCCAGATCTTCTAAAGATCCCCTCCAGCACCTACCATCTGGGAATTATTCTTATGTTTTGCTCTTTGCAGAAAATGTTTGCTTGGAGAGAATGTGAAACATGGCATAAGATTCAGATATATCCTCTATAGTCCAAAACGCCTGAGCTCTTGTAGGAAAAAATACCGTCAGTCAGTTTTGAAGGCAATGCTCTGTTCTAGGTCCCAGGGCAAAATGGCACATGCCTGTACCCCACCTTACCCAAGTAATTTTCCAGTTGTTTTTTTTTTTAAAACTGAAAAGGTGACAGGGCCACTTGCAGCCAGTAGAGAAGAAATTTGAGCAACTCTGTACTGTAAGAGCATAGGTTGCAACATAAGTTGAGACTAGGATGTGAACAGAGGTTGCAGCAAAACATAGTTCCTGCAGTAACTGAGCTGTTGTTACAGAGGGAAGCACTGGGCTCATGGATGGCAGGGGACAAAAATTATGTGTCTGCTCCCTGCTTTTTGCAAGGTTCACTTGTCCATTGGGCTGAACTTTAGATTCTCATTGCCCATTGTTCCATTCAGAGATACAGAGTACTATAGAGTATCTGTTCTACCCCAGGCCGGCCTGTGCAAAATGTATCCTCTTAAGCTGAACTCCAGGCTGAAGTCCAATGATGCCCAAGGAAAGTTGCCTGACGGTACTTTATTAGCTGTATTACACCTCTTTCACCTCATGCTTCTGCTCTGCAGCTCCAGCAGCAAATTGTTTAAAGTGACAGAATTGTGAACAGGGCAACTACCTGTAACTCTTCTGAGGAGAAGGTAAAATGCTCTCTTAGACCTGTTAAATCATGTGTGAGACCACACAAAAGGGAGACTTTCTGCACCCTCTCTCTACAGTGCAACTGCACTCAAACCTGGAGCTTTCTGCTAGTTAACCAAGGGAAGCAAGCAGGCTCCTGAGCAGGGAGAGCACAGTGGGTACTCAAACTCTGAACCATGTCACTAGGGCCTGACAGTTAATATATGAATTTTAAAATCTAGCAGAGTTGTTGCTGTATGGATCTGAACTTCCCCTTAAGTAAAATGTTTACTGCTGCATCAAAAAATCTGCTTAGTTTAAGCCCACCTAAGCCCCAATGAGCTGGCATTGCAGCAGGACGGCTGGAAGTCCCTTGGGAAGGATCTGCAAAAGCAATCCAAGGCAGGATGAACCATTCAGAGCCTCTTTATGGTGTGTGTGTCTGTGCTATCTTAGAGCATTATCAGCAGGGACGCAGGTGTATGTGGTTTGCTTGGCAATGGAGTTAAGAGCAACACTTCTCATTTTCCATTCCATCAACTCTGGGATTCATGTGGTCATCCCAGCATGCATGAGAATTTCACTTAGCAGTTCCTGCAGCCCTTCTGGTAGCGCAGCTGACTGTTGCTTGTGCACAGACACAGACCTGACCTTGTGCTTCATGCAGACAACCAGGCACCTTCCCTTCCAAGCTCTGTCCAGCACAAGGGTCAAAAAAAATGTCACCTTTAAGTCAAGTGCAACATTTCAAGCACACAGAACACTTCAGTCTTCAAGGCAGTTTCTCAGTCTGCTTGTTATGAGGAGCAAATAGTCCCATGGACAGCTGAAGAAGCACCACAAACTGTCTAAAAAATTGTGTAAGAGGAGCTATGAACTTTCAGTAAGGACAAGGGCAGGTTTCCAATAATGATTCTGTGTTTAAAGTGGGGGAGTAGTGGGGAATTCCTAGCCATGGGTGTATCCTTTACAGTTTCCTCTTTTGAAGGATTTGAATTGCTTATAAATACCCTCTTTGAGTCTGAGAGCACACGAGACCATCTCCACTTCCTTTGGCTTTGCCTTTCTGCAGTGGTGAGTGACATTCTGAATTTGTGAGCTATATGCAATGTTTGGAGCTGGTATTTGGGAACAGGACTAATGCTTTAGCATGTGGGGCTTCTCTGACAAGAGCAGCACAGAATGCTAGAATGCAAGTTTCTCATGTGCATCTGCCTCTGTTGTGGAGTCCTTAGCTGAGCTTGTGGTCTCACAGAGGATACCACTCCTCATAGGGGTAGAAGGGGGCCCTGGGCAGCTGCCCTGGCACAGCTGTGGGTGTCGTGGATGCTATGCCAGCAGTCTCTCAAAGGTGTTTCAGAACTGTTCATTTCTGTCTCACAGCTCTGTCTCACACTTGGGCAAGTAACCATGAGGCTCTGTGTCTGCCTCATGTTGCTCTCCGTTGTTCTGTGTGTAAGTGCTGACAGATTTGGACTGCGCAGAGCTGGACACTTTGTCCGGGATGCAGCGGGAGGTAAGCTGCTCTTACCATAGACCCTCCTCTTAGGAACCCACTCCCCAAGGGTTACCAATGGATGCAGCCCCTGGAGCTGGGAGATCCACAGCTGGTTTCTGCTGCTGGCAGAGGGCCTTGATCAGCCCCCACAGGGCTTTCTGTGAGCAAAGCCCTGTGCAAAGACTGATATGGAGATGTGCCTCTCTGTGTTACTGCTCCTTCGGCCTTTCAGCTCCTTTGGCCTTTCAGCTCCTGGCTGAAATGGTACTGAACTATTTATGGTGTGACTTTTTCAAGTCAACATCATTTCTGTTTCTCCGCTTTCTTCAGGAGCATGGGATATGTACAGAGCATACCGGGACATGCGTGAGGCAAATTATAAAGGTGCCGACAAATACTTCCATGCTCGTGGGAATTACGACGCTGCCCGGAGAGGACCTGGTGGTGCCTGGGCAGCAAGAGTGATCAGGTAAGAGACTGTGCTTGGCTTGTTAACAGAGAGTTACTAGAGATCCAGGCATTCCAGTTGAAGTCCTTTTTGACTCATACTCAGCTTTTCACCTAGAAGGACAGCAGAGGGGAAGGGATGCAGTTCCTGTCTGGACAACCTGTCTCTATAGGAATGGTGGCTCTCCTCCCACATGAGTGTGAGGCCTTTCTTCTTGTCCTCCTGAGAAGGCAGACTCCTTCCTCTGCATTTCTGGTCATAAAAAACTCTCTTCCCTTGCTGGTTCGTTTCCCGACGTAACAGTTATGGGTTCCATGCGGGCTCTCAGACAAGGATCAGTATGTGCTTGCATCTCACCTTGAGAAGCACTGAGGAAAAGTGTGCTTGCTTTACGTGAGTGAGGAGATCCACACGAGGCTGAGCTCATGCGGTCGGTTCAGGTGACTTTCCTCGTTCCCCGCAGTAACGCCCGGGAGGGATGGCAGAGCAGCGTGAGCGGCAGAGGCGCCGAGGACACCCGGGCGGACCAGGAGGCGAACAGGTGGGGGCGGAGCGGCGGGGACCCGAACCGCTACCGCCCCAAGGGGCTGCCCAGCAAGTACTAGGGCTGTCCCCCTGCTGCTCTAACACCTCCCTTTGCCTTTGTACATCATCATCATCATCATCATGGCTAGGCTTCGCGAACGAAGATTTGGGAAGGGTTCTACCCACATTTGCTACAAGCGCGCTGGTGACTAAAAAGTCTTTCTTAGCTTTTGTACAGCCGAATAAAGAAATCCTTCTGAAAACTGTACCCTCGTCTGCGAGCATCCATCCTCCTGGGCCGCGGGACTGGGGGACGGCGCTGGGGCGGGGGCAGCGGGGCGGTGTCGGGGCATCACGGGGGCTGCCAAGGGGTAGGGGCAGGCGGATCCCGGAACGGTGCCGGTGCGATCCCGGCGCCATCCCGGCACGGCCTTGGCACGGCCGCCGGTGCCCAGGGGGCGCTGTGGGGCCGCGGGTGCCGCTCCGGCCGCGCCGCCGCCTCGCCGTGCCCGCGCGGCTGTGGGGCCGCCATGGACCGCAACCCGTCTCCGCCGTGCAGCGATGCGGAGGAGGAGGAGGGGGACGCGGTGGGGAACACGGTGTACAGCAAGCACTGGCTCTTCAGCGTCCTCACCCGCCTCATCGAGGTGCGGCGGCGCCGGGAGGGAGGGGGCCGGCGGGCCGGTGTCGGTCAGCGCCGGGCGGGTGCGGCGCGATCGTTCCGGGGGCCGGGGGGAAACCCGGAGTCACACCCGGAGACACACCCGGGGGACACCCGGGGACACCCGGGGACACAGCGGCTTCCGAGCGGTGCGGGGCGTTAACCCGGGTCGTGTTCCCCTCACCCTCACACCCCGACGTGTCCCAGGTCATCGCCCCCGCGGAGCCGGATCCTGCCGCCAGCCCCGAGGGAGCCCGGACGGAGCTGGACGAGGAGATGGAGAATGACATCTGCAAGGTGTGGGACATGTCGATGGACGAGGTAGGAGCGATATTCTGCCCCGCAGAATCCTCCTGGACGTGGCGGAAGGCACGGAGTCATCCGAGCTCGGTCAGCTCTCGAAATAGGCTTATTTCCCTCTAGCAATTGTAGTGCGCCCTACTGGTAAAGCATGGTTTTCTCTGATAGATAAACAGCCTTTCAAAGTTTGACTACAGACTTGCAGTGGCAACGTAGCACAGCTTTTTGGTATTTTTCTCAACATTCTCAAATGCTGGAAGAAATTCTCAAGTTTTTTATATATATATATAAATATATAAAATTATTTTATTTGCTGGCTTGTTGAGATTTTTTAAATAAACATGGAATATGTATCCTTTACTCCCAAATAGAGAACTCATCTTGTGTTTTAATGTGGTAAAATGAGAAGGAAATTTCTTTTGTATAGTCTGATCAGGTGCTAATGGCAACCCCTGGCAATCCAGTAAAACGTGGTGTTTACTGGATTCTTACTTAGTGTCTCTGACCCTCTGTTGGGATAAGGAACAAAAGAACCTTTCCTTACCAATGTGACTTTTGGTCTCATTGGCATCCTGAATCACCAGAAGGGCTTGAGTTCCTGATCTTGTCTCATTGAAAAGCAAGGATTATTGGTATTCACTGTTAGCAAATAACAAAATTTTTGTAGCGAGTTTGTCATCTCTTTGATCCAGTCCTTGTGCCGTGAGAAAGGGTTTGATTTTGCTCTTGAAAATTGTAGAAGTCCGTTTACTTCTCCATTCACTTTCTCCACAGGATGTTGCTTTATTCCTTCAGGAGTTCAACGCCCCCGATATATTCATGGGAGTTTTTGCCAAATCAAAATGCCCTCGCCTTACTGTAAGTATGGGCTGTCAAAAAGCTGTCGTGTGTTAATAACAATAGTAGATAGTTCTGTACATGCATTTACTCTTATCTTCCTTCTCCTTCCACTGCATGTTTGAATGTATTAGGGGAAGCACGAGAAAATGCAAAATCAAATTTTAGAATGCTTTTTTGCAGTGTTTTTAATGTGGTATCAGTAATGTAATCAATAAGTATTTCAGCGATGTTGAAGCTGAAACAAGTCTGCTCACATATCCTCACCCATGTAAACTGATGAGGGACTGAGTTAATCAATCCTAGTTACAAGACCTGTTATAAAAACCAGTAGCCTGGCCTTTTTTCTCATTACTTGTTTTGTGATTACTAAACAGAAATGGTCATGGACTTGTTTAGTCAGACCTGCAAAAGTGTGGCAGGATGACCCTGGCTGGACATCAGGTGCCCACTAAAGCTGCTCTGTCACTCCCCCTCCTTAACTGGACAGGGAAGAGAAAATATAACAAAAGGCTCATGGGTTGTGATAAGAACGGGAGAGATCACTCACCAGTTACTCTCACAGGCAAAACAGACTCAATTTGAGGAAATAGTTTAATTTATTACCAATCAAATCAGAGCAGGATAATGAGAAATAAAATCAAATTTCAAAAACACCTTTCCCCTACCCCTCTCTTCTCCCAAGGCTTGACTTTGTTCCTGATTCTCTCCCTCTTCCCTTGAGTAGCACAGGGAAATAGGGAATGGGAGTTGTGGTCAGTTCATCACACGTTGTGTCTGCTGCTCCTTCCTCTTTAGGGGGAAGACTCCTCATTTTCTTCCCCTGCTCCAGCATGGGGTCCCTCCCATAGGGGACAGTTCTCCATGAACTTCTCCAGCGTCAGTCATTCCCACAGTTACAGTTCTTCCCAGAGTGCTCCAGTGTGGGTCCCCCACAGGGTCACAAGTCCTGCCAGCAAACCTGCTCCGCATGGGCTCTTCTCTCCATGGGTCCACAGGTCCTGTCAGGATCCTGCTCCAGCACAGGCTTCCTATGGGCTCACAGCCTTCCTTCAGGCACCCACCTGCTCCAATGTGGGGTCCTCCACAGGCTGCAGGTGGATCTCTGCATTCCCCACAGACCTCCATGGGCTGCAGGGGCACAGCTGCCTCACCATGATCTGCACCACGGGCTGCAGGGGAACCTCAGCTCCGGCACCTGGAGCACCTCCTCCCCCTCCTTCTGCACTGACTTTGGTGCCTGCAGGGCTGTTTCTCTCCCATATTCTCACTTCTCCCTTCAGCTGCAGTTGCTGTCATGCAGCAGCTTTTTCCCTTTCTGAAACATGTTATCCAATGGGTGCTCCCACCCTCTTTGAACCTCTCTTACTTTTGTCTTACTGCTCTGGAAGTGAAATCCTGGACTACATTGCAGTTGCCTCATTATACTGTGTTTTGACTTTTCAGGAAATCTGCGTGGGAATATTAGGAAATATGGCCTGTTTCCAGGACATATGCATGTCCATTAGTAAAGATGAGAATCTTGGGTAAGTGTATATGTGCTTCATACATGCACGAGTACTGCTTTTCTGGACTCACAGTCATGAAGTACATGTTATAAAAGGATCTAAGTTTGCCTGCCATGCCTCATCATTCACATCGTTTTGGCTGACCTTTTTTGTGTGGGAAGTGTTCAGTGAAGGAAAAAAGAATACACACCACTGTTTTATTTCTTTTTTTAATCACCAGTGAAATTCTTGAATGTTTGATTTTTAAGTTTGGCAATCTTGAAACACTTAAAATGCATGAGTAGTTAGAAAAAGCTGGTTTTAATCTCAGAACATGGCTGTGGCTATGAAATTATCTTTTTATACCTGTTTTTTTAAACAAGGATAGATTTTGTTAACTTTTTTTCCTTGCATTTTCTCCTTAAAGCCAAGTGCTACTGCAGCGTTTGTGTGATTCAGACTCCCCAACTCTTCTGGAAACAAGCAGGTAGGACATCTCAGAAATTAATGCATTGTTAGTGTGGTTCTGCTGTGTTCTGAGGCCTGGAAAGAAAACTGACAGATGGGCTCACTGTTTTATTATCCTCTCATCCCCTCATCTTTTATTGTTTCTGCATTGTCCTGGAATCAGTTCCTGTGAGGTAGATTCCTGTTTCTGTCACATCATTCTCATTATTTTGGATTTACACTTGTACAGCTGAAATGAACTGAATTGGCTTCTAATTTATTAAATGAGGAATTCTTGTCTAGGCTGTTGTTAACTTGCCTGTCCCAGCCTGAGGTGGCCAATGTCTGGGTTGAGAGAATCCGAGAAAACCCTTCCGTGTATGACTGTGTTTGCTTTATCATGTCCAGCTCTACAAATGGTAAGTTGCCAAAACAAGTTGGGAATTAGTGGGGTTTTGCAGAAGAAAAAATAAGAACTGAAGTTTGCAGTTTCAAAGACAAGTATTTTCAGCTGGGAGAATTTCTTGAAAATAAAGGGAACCTCATAAATTTAAAGGACACCAAAACAAACTCATCCTGCCCTTGCAGGTTTATAAATATATATAAAACCAATCAAAAAAGCAGGCACAGAGGAAGAAGAAAGCTTTGCGGGGAATCAAAATAAGTGTAACAGAAGAAATTGTTATTTTCCACAAGAAAGGAAAGGACATGGTCTTTGTTCAGGGATATACGTGTGTAATTTTTGAACCTTAAAACAAGACCTCATTTAATTAGTTTTTTTTCAAATCAGATATATGTGTTTACTGTTTTTAAAACTGCCATACTTGTGGAATGGTGACTGGAGGAGTGATTCAGTTGCTCTGAGTGGCAGCTGAATACTGTACAGGCTTTGGGTATACAGTCAGTAGTGTGCAAATCTCTCTTAGAACTAATTTATTAAAAACCACACCAAACTCCTAAAAATGGAAATACTTTGAATAGCATTTATGTTTCATATCCAACTCATTTGTAACAGCAGTTATGATTTGTCAAGGAGTCCTAATAATTTAGCCTTTTCAGGTTTTTTATTATTATTATTATTAATGACAGTGCTCCGAAATCCTGCTCATCCAACTGAAATCACAGATCTACCTAAGTAAAATGCAGATTGGCAGGTGGAAGACTGGCATCAAACTGCATATCTAGGGACAAATCTTGGAAAGTTTTTCTTCAGAAGCAGAAGTTAGGACTTTTCAGGAATGTGAAGTCTCTTTGCAGAATAAAGTTCTTGCTTCGCATATGGCAAGACGAGGTTGGAGACGTCAGTGGGCTTTCCAACAATTCCTATTTATCAAACTCTTCACTTGGTTTGTGCCACATAAGGGAATTAAACATAGCAACCCATAGTAGGTCATGAAGAAAATTAATATATTTCAGTACTGAATTTACTCTGAATTCACGTGTATATTAACGTTTTGTGAGCTGATTTTTGCCCTTCATTTTTAGTCTTGTTGAAATTTTTACATTCTCTCTCGTGCAGTTGACTTGTTGGTAAAA